GATGTGACTCCAGCTGCCCGTGCCACCTCACTGCCCCCTCCAGTTTAAAGCCCACATGCAGGCATGGGGGGGGGCAGTAAGCCCCTTCCCCGGCCTTGACTCCAGGTCCCTTCTTTCGGTGTAGGGAAGGTCCTGGCCGTCTGGTCCAGGAGGTGCTGGACTGGTGAGGGACTTAAAGGCCGGTAAGACTGAGGTGGGAGGTGAGGGCTGGGGCATGTCACTCACAGAGAGGCTTGCCTGTCTGTTCACTCGGGTCAGCCACGGGGAGCCATGGAAGGTTATTAAGCAGAGCGGAAGGAGACTTGATTTAGAGAAATGGAAGGTGGAGAGAGCTGTGAAAGGGCCAGAGTGATCATGTAGGGCCATCTGACAAGGCAGAGGGGCAGAGGAGGCCCTGGGGTGAGGACAGGGCTGGCCCGAGAGACATTCTCCAGTAAGAAGGGCTGACTTGGGAAAGAAGGAGGTGTGGAGGTGAGGGGTCCCTGATGGGGTGGAGCTTCGGCTTGTTTAATGGATGCGGAGGGCCCCAGGCACAGGGCAGCCTGGGATGGAAGGTGATGTGTTTGATACCGGCTGGCTTGGGTGCAAGGTGTCCGTGGGCTTCTGGGAGCAAGTCCAGGAGGCAGCTGGAAACGCAGGTTTTGCTGAGGAGCTGGAGGGTTAGGGGGTGTTCCTGCCAGCGTTCGCCAAGCTGGGAAGGGGCCACCCCAGGATCTTCATGGGGTCTGTCGTCCTATGAAGTCTGTGCTCTCGTATCAAGGGACCAGCAAAGATGCAGCCCCTTTCTCTCTCTCAGCTTCTGGGCTTGGCTGAGAGATCAGCTGCCTTCTTGGGGATCAGTGCTGTTCTTGGGGGGCATCGCAGGCATCTCTCTGCTGCAGAGCCTGGCAGCCCCGGGGGGGTCTGCAAGCCCAAACTTCTGCTCTGTAGAGGGACCACCTCCAACCATCTCCCCATCCCCCACACCAAGCAGTCCCTATTCTCTGATTGGAATTCACATTTACTGGGCGCAGACTGTGCAGGCCCAGTGCCCAAACTGCACAGGTTTTCTCTCCATCCTCACAATGCCCCTTGGGTGGGGGCGCTATTATTGTATTACTACTCTTTCAATTTTATAGATGAAGGAACCAACTGCAGCTTCCAGGACCTTGCCCCGTCCCCTGGGGGTGGGGTGGGGGGTGGGTCAGGGTTTGCCCCCCTCTGTGGGAGCTACAAGGCTGCTAAGTGACCTGGGTGGACAAGTCATCTCTCCAAACCCCACTTATAAAGTAAGTTTACTCAGGGGCCCTGGCCCCACCGTGACGCCCCTCCCGCTGCGGACTCCAGTTCCACAGTCGCGGCTCGCAGGACTTTCCCACACACCCCCAGCTGCCGCCTCACTATGTTCCTCCTGGCCCCACTTTCTCGGGAACAGTCAGGCCCAGGCTGTGCTCCTGGCAGCTCTGTCGCCCTGGGCTCTGGTCCGGGGGTGGTCCCTGGCGGTGAGGGGGGCAGGCAGAAAGCCGGGATCCATTGGGCTAAGGTGTTGGGCATTCGGAGACCCCCAGGCCTCCACTGAGGGTCCACTGTGCTCCAGGCTGGGGTAGGCAGGGCCCTTTGGAAAAGGGTGGCTTGAGGTTTTAATCACTTTATCAATGTTTGTTTGTGTAATTCAGACCTGAGATGATTTTCCCTCCATCTGTCCCCACCATCTGCTCCCATCAGGATTTTCCAAATCATTTGGGACCAAAAAGAGGAGGGTGAGGGCTGGGCCTCTGAGGGGTTGGGGAGGGGCTTCCTCCCCCTACCTCCCTGCCAGCCTTCTAGGCAGGGGCAAGGGCTCCTGAGTCAGATAGAACTGGTTCAAATGCTGACGCTGTTACTTTCTTGCTGTGTTACCTAGGGCAGGGTACTCCACTTCTCTGAAGCCTCAGTCTCCACATCTATAAAATGGCAATAATACTATTAACTCCTCAGGATGAGTGCCGGTCAAATGCGGTGATACATGCAAAGCGCTCTGCATCCAGTAGGTGCTCGGGAGCCGAGTGGCGCCCTCTCTCCTGGGCCCTACTGTTCTCTCCGGCATCCTTCCAGCTGTGTTCCTCTCTAGGTGTGAGGGGAAGGTGGCCAGCCCTCTCCTCCCTCGTCAGGTGCTGGAGACGTCCCCTCCCTGCGGACTTGCCCTCTCCTCCACCTCCCATCGCCCCCTGCCCACTGCTCCGTTCTTTTCCCAGCCACCCTCTACATCTTCCCTAAGACAGGCCTTTTCTTCCTTCTAGGCGCCCCAGTCTGGGGTGGGAAGGGCTGAATATCATCAGCAAGGACACTCCCACCTGTGCAAAAGAGCTTTGAGGGAGGCACATGGGCAGGGTCCCAGGGCCCCTGGGGCCTCATCTGTGTATGCTCCTGTCCAGAATTTCAGGCCCGAGGGGGACGCTGAGGCAGTGAATGAGGTCTGTCTTGTCCCTGCTCGGATCTTGGAAAACCTTAAGGCACCCAGGTCCCCTGTCTAAACCTTCTGTTCAGATGGGGAAGATACTTGCTGCATGTCATCCAGAAGTGAGGGACCAGGCCTCCTGACAACTGCCCCCTGTCCACCCCCCTTTCTGAGCTGACTCTCAAGGCACAAGGTCTTGAGCCAAGAACCTTGATGTGCGGCGTAGGGAACCCCAAGCCTCCCCATTCTGCTCACAGGGGTCTCCCAGAGCTTCTTAGGCTCCTGGGAGAGGAGAGGTGGCTGATGGGAAGCACCCAGCAGAGCCTTCCCCCGGGGCCCAGACTCTACCTCCAGACCCACCTACTCACTTGAGGGGCAGGGAGAGTCAAAGGGAGGTGAGGCACCCAGACTGAGGACGAGCTGTGGTTCTGCCTTCAGAAGCCCCCTCTGGAGAGAAGAGGCAGGATGAAGACTGGGGGTCCTGAGGGCTGGGGCATCAGAGCCCCCTCACAGAGAAGAAAACCCGTGGGGCTAGCAGAAGTGGCCTCCTGCCAGGCTGAGCGGAGGAGTCAGCCTGGAGGAGATGGAGCTGGGGTGGCAAAGTGGGGGAAGCAGAGGGAGGGGCTGCGCAGCCCGCGGGAGGGTAAACTGAGACCCACAGGATGGGCGAGAGGACCTAGAACGGACTGGGAGCATCCTGGCTTCCGGTGGGTGGCAGAAGGGGGGGAGGGGGAGGAGGGCCTGAAGCGATGACTGCAGGGCAGGCCGCTCTCCCTGCCCAAGCACAGAAGGTCCTCCCCGCTTACTGGGGAGAGGGGAGAGAGCTTGTCGCTCAAAGGGCCTGAGGTGCAGGCTAAGCAGCAAGTCTCTCCCCACCCCCAGGTCCTGGCGCAGGAGGCAGCTGGGAACCACCCACGCATGTCTGGCGTCTCTCACGCCTCCATCGGGGGTCCCAACACCAGCGCCAAGGCGCACATCGGAACGGATGTTCTGGAGGGCCCAGCTGCCTCCCAGTCCCCCACAGCCTGGCCCCCCCAGCTCCTCCAGCTGGGACCTCCCTTCCCTGCTTGTCCTCAAGCAAGAGGGGCTTCAGGCCCGGCACTCGAACGGCCTAAGCAGCTTGGTCTGGGAGCCTGGAGGTGGAGCTTTGGTATGAGCCCCGGGAGCCAGGAGGGTCCCAGCTGCTGCCACGGAATTGGGAGGAGGGTAGCTCCCGGTCAGAGGACGAATGGAGTCGGCCCGCCTTCAAGACCTCCGGAAACGAGGCCCCGGTCATGTCGCACTCTAAGATGGTCCCCTGGTCCCACCCTGGTCCCCAGTCCTCAAAGTTTGCTTTTGACAGAATGCCTGAGTAAGCTTGACCTGGAAGTCAGACCCCCTCACTCTGCTCAAAGCCCCCAGAACTTCCCGTCTCACCTGGAAGGAACTCAGTCCTCAGCATGGCCCTGAGCACCGCCACCATCCCAGCCTCGGCAGACGGGTCTCAGCTTTTCCAAAAACACCTGTCCAGCGCCCTATAATAGATTGGACTCGTATTCCGTGTCCAGGGTTTACTGCCTGCTCCCGTAACCTCGCTGCCAAAAACCCTGCTGGGCGCGCAGCTCGTGCTGGACGGACGCGTGCGCCATGGATGGCTGCCGGCACGTGGACTAAAGTCCAAGCCTTTTACTCGCCAGCTGTCGGACCCCAGAAAGATCATGTCACCCCTCTGAACTTGGCTCCTCATCTGTGAGGTGGGGACAATAAGGACCACCTCTAAGAGATGGAGCACGGGCAAAATTCGAGCTCAGGATAGGGGGTTGCTGCTGAGGCCGGACCTCGACGCCGCTCAGAATCCTCCTCCCCGGCTGCAGAGAGATGCTCCCCAACCCACTCGGCGGAGACCAGGGAGGGAGGCGGCGGGGGCGGGGGCTCCTGGATGGGGTGGGGGAGGAGCACGTTAGATCCATGTCGGGAGGTGGGGTCCATTTCGAGAGGGGTGGCTCGAGGCAGACCCTGAAGGGCGGTCAGGATACGGGGGTGCGCTCCGCTCTCTAGGGCGGAGGTGGGGTGGGGGCGTGCCTGGTCCCAGAGAACCTCAAGGGTGGAGGAGTGGGCGCTGCCTTCTCCCCGAAGAGCCCCGGGTTATGTTTCCCAGCTGAGGCGCGGGGGCAGCGAGGGCAATTAGCGCACCGCCGGGATCCGGATCCGACGTGCGGCTCAGCGCCCAGGTAGGGGTGGGGGAGGCAGGCGTTGAAGCGGCCGGGTGTTGCTGGCCTCGGCTTCGGAAAGAGGTGTTTGGGCACTGAGCCCCGCCATCCCGCTCGAGCCACCTGAGTCGAGAGGCTGAAGACGTGGAGACCGCGGCCCGCCGCCCCCCCGCTCCTGCGGCGGGTGCTCCCCGGCGAGGGGGGCGGGGAAGTGAGGGCATCCCCTTCCTTCTCCCGGGCAGGGGCGGGGCGGAGCCTAGTCATCGCTCCCTCCACCCCCAGAGCTGGAGGGGAAAGGGAGGAAGCGGGGCCCGCCCCCCCCAGAGGAGGGACTCGGGGCGAACGCTGCGGGGCGTCTCCTTAGCAGTCCCTCCCCCCGGCCCCCCGCCCGCCCCTCCGGCCGCCTCTGCCGCCGCGCGCTGCAGCAGCGCCGCCTTCCCTGCGCAGTCGGTGTCTCCGCGTCGCTGGGTGAGTGGGGGCCGCTCTAGCCGGGGCTGGGGGATGCGGGGAGGGGGCATGCCGGGGGTAGGGGGCCACGTCCAGGGCTCCCCAACCCCGCCGCTCTGCGCCTCGCAGGAATCTTCCCTCCGGGTGCGCAGGGAGAGGGGGCTCTCTGGGGAAAACCCGTGGAGCTCTCCAGGGTCCTGACCTTCGAGTGGACAGCCCGCAGGAGTCTTGCTTCGGCCGCTCAGAGCGCCCCCTCCAGGAGGGGCCACTAGCCCGGAGCTCTTCCAGTGCTGAAAGGATTGAGGCAGAAGCTCAGGGCGAGAGCTGGGAAGAGGTTCAGGGAAGGTCCTGGAGGCGGGTTTCTGAGGTGGAGCAGTGGGTCCTTGCCATTTGGGGGATTGGGAGGGGGATGTTTTGCAAGACAACAGAATTTTCTACCACCCTGGTTTCCACGTCTTCCACTGGGGGGGGCAACTCTGAGGGTGGCAGGGAAGAAGGGGCACTGGAAGATCTCTCCTGCCCAGCACATCCATCTGCCCCCTCCCGGATGACCCAGTTCCTAGGACCTTGAGGAAGGGACTAAGAGACCCACTCCGCCACCCCAGCCCCATGCATTTCTCAGCCCCCTCCCACACATTTGTTCTGTGGGTGCTCAGCTTGGGTCCAAAGGGGCTGATTTAGAAAGGAGGGTGACCAACTTGCAGAAACACGCATATGAGATATTGCTGAGGACACACACAGGCACAGCCCCCTCACACTGTAATTGGGTGCATACCTAGTCACCCATTCGGGGCACTGAAACATACGGGGAGACAAATGCAGTGAGCATCCGTGAGCGCACGCACACACTCACCTACATGTGCACTGAGCTTTGTGCAAATGCACACACAAGGAGCCACCTTGCCCAGTGTCAGAGACCCAAGCTGAGGGAAGATCTGCCTGCACACACTCCCACATCCTTGCCCAGAGCTATCCGGCTGTCTCCTCTCCATTGCCATCCCCTTTGCCCTCCACACTCTAAGCTCCTGCACTGAGGGGACCTTTCTGGGTGGACTAGAGGAAAGGTAAGTGTTGGGGGAGGGTTGGCTGGCCACAGGTCTCCCTGGAAAATGGGCCCCTTGTAGGTCTGAGAAGGGCTGCAGCCCCCTCTGGAAGAGAAAGATGGCAAGGGTGCCTGGGGGTCCCACTGGCAGATGGCCATGTGAGAGGTGTCAGCATGGGAGCGTGATGGCATATGTGGGACATGTGGGGTCGTGGGCTGGTGTGTCTTGATGCAGAGGGCATGGGAGTTGTGCATGTGTGGTGCCCTGTGTCAGTACATGTGAGTTGTACAGCAGAAGGAATGTTGTCTCGTGTGGAGGCATGGCAACCCACGGTAGGCGTGGGCTGGCATGTAAGTGGCATGGGCACCGATGTGTGGAGTGGGGGGCTGTGTAGCCTATGTGTCAGTGTGTATTTGTCTGTGTATTGTTGTGCAGGAGTCTTGTGGCAACTGTTTATTTAATACCTATGAAGCACTATATGTGCAAACATCGTTTGAAATGCTTTCTATGTATTAACTAATTTAACTCCACCACTATAATGAGGTAGGTACTGTGACCCTCACTTTACAGATGAGGCAGAGAGAGTTTAAGGAAATCGCCCCAGGTCAGGTAGCTGGGAAGACGCAGACCTGGGATTCCAACTCCGCTGTTCTGGTTCTGGGACCCAGGCTAACACCTGCCTTACGCCACCTGTTGGCAGGTGCAGGTGCGAGCAGGCCTGCGTCTGGGCTGCAGGTGTTTCGTGGTACTGACATATGTGAGACAGTGAAGGGGCAGTGCACAGGAGGGAGGAGGACCGGAAGCCTTTCTTCACCTCCCGGGACAGCTCTCGGAGTCAGCCCTGTCACTCCATGGCTGTGTAACTTGAACCCAGTCACCTCACGTCCTTGATCCTGTCTCCTCATCTGTAAAATGGGACTAGTCCCCAGGCTTCGCTTTGTGAGGGTGAAATCGTGTCTCCCGGTAAAGGCTCAGCGGCTGCCCCCGAGAGGGACCTTAGGGAACATGAGCCCCCTTCCCTCCCGCTGTCCCCATGCCTGTGCCCTGGGGAAGTGAAGTTCTGGGGAATGGTGTGGAGCCTGTCACAGGCAGGACACCTCGGTGCAGGGTGTGTGATCTCGGGCCAGCTCCTTCTCTCACTGGGTCCAAAGAGAGGCTGGGGGCGCTGGTGACTGGGGCCCCTCCTGGAGTGGTGTCAAGGGACCAGGAGGGCCTGACTCCTCCTCTCCATTCCTTGACTTTCTTGGGAACCCAGGTGGGATCGGCTCAGTGGCCATGGGCAAGCAGAACAGCAAGCTGCGGCCGGAGATGCTGCAGGACCTGCGGGAGAACACGGAGTTCTCGGAGCTGGAGCTGCAGGAGTGGTACAAGGGCTTCCTCAAGGACTGCCCCACAGGCATCCTCAACGTGGACGAGTTCAAGAAGATCTACGCCAACTTCTTCCCCTACGGTGACGCCTCCAAGTTCGCTGAGCACGTCTTCCGCACCTTCGACACCAACAGTGACGGCACCATCGACTTCCGGGAGTTCATCATCGCGCTGAGTGTGACCTCGCGTGGCCGCCTGGAGCAGAAGCTCATGTGGGCCTTCAGCATGTACGACCTGGACGGCAACGGCTACATCAGCCGCGAGGAGATGCTCGAGATCGTGCAGGTGGGCCCCCGGGCCCCTCGGAATGCCAGGCGCGGGGCCCAGCAGCTGCCCCACCAACTCTCTTTAGCCTCTTGACAGCCCTCCCTTGTGGGTAGGTGGCGGCGGGTGCTACTCTCACGGTCCATTCATCACACTTTTTACCGGGAAATACTTTCTGATCTAAAGAAAAGTTGAGTAAACTCCCGTGTACACTTCACCCAGATTCACCCATAAACATTGGACCACTTTTGTTCTGCCGTGTGTGAGTGTGCGTGTGATGTTTTGTTGTTGTTCTGAGCAGCCCATTTTATCCCTGAGTCTGTCAGGATATATTTCCTGAGAACAGAGATGTTCCCTTATGTAACCCCTAGTATGGTTGTCAAAGTCAGGACATTTAACATAGAAACCATGTTGTTGTCTAACTTACAGACCATATTCTAATTTTGCCAACTGTCTCTGCAATGTTCTTTTTCGCCCGATCTGGGATCACGCACTGCATTTCGTTTCCATGTCTCATTAGTCCCTTTCAGTCTGTAACAGTTCTTCAGCCTTTCTTTGTCTTGCAAGGTTTGACATTTCTGCAGGGTACAGGCTAGTTGTGTTTTTATCACTCCTTGTTTACTCAAGAGAAAACAAATTCTCAGAGAGGTAAAGACATTTTGCTGAGGTCACACAGCCTCTGAGTGGGCCGCCTGGATCCATGGGCCACGTTCCATCTGGTTACTGAGCCACATCCCAACCAGTTGAGGGCCCGCTAATAACCTTGTGCTGGGTGAGATGCTTAGAGCCGTAAGCTCGGAGCATCTTTACAACAACCTTGTCAAGCTCAGAGAGGTGAAGTGACTTGTCCAAGGTCACACAGCAAATAAGTGGGGTCAGGCTCAAGCTGACCACCACTCAGAGCTGCCTCTTTGTTTTTTGTGTTTTTTTTAAGATTTTATTTACTTTATTTTTAGATAGCGGGGAAGGGAGAGAGGGAGAGAAACATCAATGTGTGGTTACCTCTTGTCCACCCCTGAGTGGGGACCTGGCATGCAACCCAGGCATGTGCCCTGACTGGGAATTGAACCAGCAACCCCTTAGTTCACAGCCCATGCTCAGTCCACGGAGCCACACCAGCCAGGGCAGAGTTGCCTCTTGAAAGAGGTCTGGCTTCCAGTTCTGGAGCTGGCCTCAACCATTAGATGGTGCGCCCCCCGCCCTGAAAAATAGGGATGGTGATTCTGATCTCACAGGTTTAAAGATCTGAAACAAACACCATTTGAATACAAATTTAAGTGTGACCTGTCAGCTTTATCTCAAAAACCTTCTAAAGCATCCAGCCCCGCAGGCCAGCTTTAGAGACCCTCAAGGCTCTGGTCCTATTTTTACCCATCCAATTTCTCGTTCACTGCTTTCCTGACCTTCTGCAAAGTGAGGATGTTAACTAACCCTCAAGGCCACTATAGGTATAAAGTGAGGTAGGCACTTTGGCAGAAGGCCCAGTGTGCAATTGGCACTTGGTAAACCTTATTTTCCCCTCTGCACACTCTCTGCTGTAGCCAGAATGGCCTTTTCCACGTCCTTGGAACGTGCCCTGAGTAATCCTGTTGCGCAGCTTTGCACAAGCTCTTGCGCCCTGTCCTTCTGCCTCTCTGAATCCTTTCTCTTTTCGTCCCTCGGCTCTGCTGACTGCTCTCCACTTCCAACTCATCCAGCCCCTACTGGACTCTTGGCTTCTCTGTTACTAAGGGCATTGGTCTGTTCTCTCCAGCTGGAGTAGAATGGGCTGCCTTGGGATGTGGTCCCCTCCCTATGCCTATCACTAGGGGAAAGCCTTTATGTTTGTCAATGACTCCCGTGGGCCAGGCATTAAATCCGTAGTTGATGGACAGTGGGGAGTCCTGGGGGTCCTGGTGGAAGGGTTGGGGTAGCCAGGGTGGTGGCAGATTATTCAGGGATTGGGCAGCAGCTGGATACCAACCAGTGGGAACAGGGCGTTCATGTTTCACCACTTAGTGTGGCTGCACTGGTATCGACTTTGGCCTGCTGGAGGCGCCAGTGGGTCCCATTCCTTGGGCGTTCTCGGGACTCCCTGGCTGGCCCCTGCTCTCTGGGCCCTGGTTTCCTCACCTCAGCCCATCAGTCAGTCCCAGCCGGTCAGTGCAGACAGAGCTCTACTAACCCCCGTGACCAATTAATTACAAGTCAGCTCCAGTGAAACAATGAATGAGCAGCAATTCCAGACAATTAATTAGGAGGCCTGGGAGTAGAGTTGTCACAAGGGGAGCATTTACTCTTTAAGTCACTCGCACAGTCCTTCTCAGGACCCTGCCCTGTGGCCAAGAGGGGAGTCCACGAGAAGGGAAGAAATTGCATCCTGGGGCTCCTGCTCTGGTGGGAGAGCAGGACCAGCTCACTGACCAGCTTGATGACAGGGGTATAAGTGTGACAGGGAAGAACTGAGGATGTGGTGGATGAGTAATTATTATATACAAGCTGCCGTTTACTGACCACTTACTTTAGCCAGTCACTGTGCTACACATAGGATCTCACTTAATCCTCTAGACAATACTGCTCCCATTTTGCAGATGAGGAACCTGAGGTTCACAGAGGTTAAGTACTTGTCCAAGGCTACACAGCAAGTGATCGTTGGAACCAGGATGCCACTCCAGGTCCACTCCACAAGCATCTATCCAGCAACTAAGAGGGAGCAGGTTCTAATCTTGTCTTTGCCATCAACTCCCTTTCTGAGCCTCTATTTCTTATCTGGAAAATGGGGATCATGATACCTACTTTTCAGGGCTGTTGTGAGGCTTAGAAATAATGCATGTAAAGTACCTGGCACATAGTAGGTGCCTGGTAAATGGTAGCTGGTATTATTGTCCCAGGCAAAGGCTGTAAATGCTAGGAAATCTGAAATGTGCAGTCATATTGGTTGTGGCAGAATCACCTACCAGGAGAGACCTGATGGTAGAGAGGTTAAGGGACCACAGTGTGAAGTACTTTGAATGCTAAGGGCCAAACAGTTTGGACTTGGTACAGTGGACAGTGGGAGGTGCCAACTGCTTTCAAAAGGGACCTTCCTGCCAGGTGCCCAGCACTGTGCTCAGTTTTGGGGATATGCGCACTAGCTAGATGTCCACGGTCCTTATTTGTATGCTGGAGACTAGGAACAATCCAACAAAGGCGTAATTATTTCCAGAGAGGTGTCCCCAAAGGAAAAGCCCAGGAGGCTCTGTGCCAGCACATGGGCCCTGACCCAGCTTGGATCAGAGAAGGACTCCCTAAGAAAGCGCTATGTAAGCTGAGCCACAAGGAGGAGTGGGAGGCAGCAGAAGAAGCGTGGGGCAGCATCCAGAAGGAGCTGAGTGCATGGCAGGCCTGGGGGGGGGGGGGAGGCTTGTGTATAACTGGAAAAAGGGGGCGGTCTGCTGGGCGGGGGACGTGGTGGTGGAGATCTGTGTTTGGAAAGAGCTTTCAGAGGCAGAGAGTGGGGGACAGAACCAAAGAAATGAGGTTGGGAGAGACCAGTGTGAAGGCTAAAGCTGGATCTGAGGCAGGGTCAATTTTGGTATGGGAGAAGAGAGGCAGGCTCCTTGGAGATGGTTTCAGTAGCAAAAAGCTGGAAGATTGATATGATGGGTCGGTCCGGTCCTTGAGCTCCAGGACTCAGTCTATTCCTACGTGCTCTGTATACATTTAGCGCAAAAACCTCCCTTAGTGTGGCCTCCAGAGCTCCAGCTAGTGGCGACTGCAGCTCTGGGCCCAGGCTGTCCCCGCCCCTGGCAGATGCTCATTTGCGTTTATTTGCATAATGATCCCCGCCCTCTCTGGGCCCAGCTGCCTCCCGCCTTCCAGCCTGGGGTGCTGCCCAGCGCCCCCTGCCGGCCACAGCGATACCGCAGCGCAAACGCCTCCTGTCCCTCCACGAGCGCCCGCGGCCTCGAGTTTCTGAGAAGCAGTGCTAACTCCGTACTGATCCTCGGAACCTTCGGCCTCGATGTCCTCCAACATCTCTACATATCCCCTGCACTCAGCCACCCCCAAATTTCCGGCGCCCTCTCAAGAGCTTCCCGCTGTGGGTCTTTGCATACGCAGGTCTCTCGATCAGCAATTCTTTTCCACTTAGCGCTCCGAGGGAACTTGGTCAGGGCTCACTCCAATAGCGCCCCCCTCTTCTGGGAAGCTTTCCCAGACACTCTTTCGTGAACCCTCCGGTTCCCTACGCCTCCGTGCCCCCCTCCCCACCTCACCCTGGCGGGAACGATAATCATCAGTGTAGCTGGGGGCGTATTTGAAGAGTGGGGGTTGGGGGGTGGCCCAGGCAGTCTCCTCTCACCCCCTGCCTTCCATTCCCGATCCCCAGGCCATTTACAAAATGGTTTCGTCGGTGATGAAGATGCCGGAGGACGAGTCGACCCCTGAAAAGAGGACTGAGAAAATCTTCCGCCAAATGGACACTAACAACGATGGTGAGGGGCGGGGACGGGGCGGGGCCGCCACACCCCTTTTCCTCCAGCTGCTCGGCTTTGCCTCCCCTTACTTCCGGGCTGCCTTCTCCCCAATCACTGTTGCCCTCGTCCTGCAGGCAAGCTGTCCTTGGAGGAGTTCATCCGCGGAGCCAAAAGCGACCCGTCCATCGTGCGTCTGCTGCAGTGCGACCCCAGCAGCGCCTCCCAGTTCTGAGTGAGGAGCCAGGTTCCCCCCTCCTCCCTGCGTTCACTGGTCCTCTTCCGGCCCTCAGCTTCCTCTCCCTTGTGTCCATCCAGGCTAGGGGCAGACAGGACCTCCCCCCAGCGTCTGCACTCTGCGGGGAGCCTATGGAAAAGGGAACCCCTCAGTCTCCCCAACACCCAAGCAAGCGGTTAGTACCCTCCAGGCCAAGAAAGCAGCATCTGCCTTCAGCGATGATAGGGAGACACGCAGGCTCTGGCTTGATCCTCCTCAGCCTTCCCCTTTCTAGATGTCAGAATTTCAGCCAGCCTCCCTCCCTACCACACGCACAGCCCCGAGTCCAGACTTCCCTCCCTCACTACCAGGCAAGCTCCCCCACCCCCGTGCATCTCAGCCTGGGTGGAGAGGGGAGAAACCAAGCACAGGTGAGGAGAGGTCTTTTTATTTGGAGGGGAGAGGATTGGCGGGGAGGGGTAAGGGAAAAGCTTGAGTCACCCTTTCCTGCAGGAGGGGCTCGGCCCTTCCTGCTCAGCTTCTGTTGGCCTGGAGGTTATGCTGCCAAAGGAAAACCTCCTGATCCCCGCAGCCAGCCCTGAGTCCTCTGCACCGCCCCCCCCCGCCCCCCCTGCCGGCCTGTCTTTCAGCACTTGGATGAACACAGACCCATGGACCCCTCTGTGCAGTTTGCCTCCCTCAGACACACACACACACACAAGCCCACAGTTAGATGGGCAGACACACCCTGGAGCCCTGCCCCCCCCCCCAGCATCCTGAGTGGGAAAGAAGCACAGAACCCCTGGCCGAGTCCCTCCCCCGCTGCATGCATCCTTGTGGAGCATCTCTGTTCTTTTTAATAACTTCAGAATAAAGTCTCGTTTCAGTGCATGGGCTGGGTGGACCGGGAGCGGGGAGGTTAAAATCCCCACTCAGGTCCAGGAATGGCCACTGAGTCCTCCTGGGCTGGCTCCAGGACTCCTGGCCTGGTCACAGTGCAGACTTGGTTGCAGGGCCCCAGTGGTTTGGGTGTGGCGTCAGCCATCAGAGTGTCAGCGGCCCAGAGCTGGAGCAGCTCAGCAGGTCCTGGCCCTCCACAGGCTGTAGGATCTCCTGCATCGGTAGAGACAGGCGGCTTGCCAGGCTGTGGGATCTGTGTCTGGGTCTCCTCCTCCAGGACACCCCAGGAAATGGAAGGAGGGGACAGCTGGGAGGATCTCTGAGGCAAAGGCATCCCTTCATCCTCCCACCAGGCAAGCGCCAGGCCATAGCTTTGGAGTGCCCTACAGTTGGAGCCCAAATACCTCCCTCCCCCCCTCAAGTCCTGGGCCTTGGGGGAACCAGGTGTCAGCTGTGTGACTTAGCTGGGAGATCTGACCTCTCAGCTTCCAAGTCTCTCCCTTGGTCCTGGGGAGAAAACTATTGTCCTAGTTCTCAAGTGGAAGTCCCATGCAGAGGGATGGGGGCTGTCTGGCAGGGGTTCCCAGAAAATTTGGGGAGTCAAGGCTGTGGAGGGAGTGATAGGTCTTACCATGTGGTGGCTGCTTTTCCCCCACCAGGGCCTCAGTTCCAGCAGCTGGTGGGCAAGCTGGGCACATCGCACAGCGAACACACTTTCTGCCACGCAGAACAGAAGTGAGATGCCCCAGAGGCACAGGCTGGAGCTCTGCAGGGGCACAAGAGGCAGAGATGGCTGCAGGCATTGGGGGTGGAGGGCAGGACTGACTCGGAGCACCCTTCCCACCTCTGATGAGCACCTGGATGACCCCCACCCTATCCCAGGCCTAAGCACTCACATAAATGCGTGTGGGGTCGAAGGGACAGTCAGGTGCCAGGGCCAGCAGTTCAGGGCTCTCAAAAGTGCAGGTAGCCAGCAGTGCCTGGCCCTGGGTGGCAAAGGTCACGGCGATCGAGGCCAAGAGGCCAAGAGCACAGGTCAGAGAGAGAAGGGCACAGGCCACACTCGAGCTAAACACTGCCCAGCGCTGGATAGGAGAGGCCACTGGTCAACGGATGTCAGACTTGACCCCCATGGGCAGCTCTGGCCCCCATGGGGGCAGCTCACCCCCTCCGAGCAGGCCAGGCCCTTCCTACCCCTAAGCCCATCCCAGGAGGTCCCACATACCAGGGGGATGCTGGGGAGGTAGCGTGACAACACGATGGCTGCAATGCCCGAGGTGATGACCTGTGGGGGACAGGGGGCAAGGGGGTCAGGGCCACTATGGGATAAGGATTCCACCAGCGCCAGCAGGAGCTCTGCAGACCACGTCCTCCTCCCCGGCGTAGCCTCGGGTTACCTTGACCTGCAGGGAGGCACTGCCTCTTCCTGGTCAGCCCCGAATGATGTTTGTAAAACACAACCACTTCCTGCCTATAGCCTGCCATGACTCCCCACTGCCTACAGCTGTGCATCTCAAACAATGACTTTGTGTCCCAGGACCACAGGGGCATGGACCAGGATATATATGACTTGCCTCCCTGGAGTGGAAGCGATTTGGGAAGAAACTAACTCACCTGGCAAGGAACTCAAACAAACAAACAAACAAACAAACAAACAAACAAACAAATCAGGACCCTTTATGGAGAATTCAGAATCTTAGGAGTAAATCATCTCAGGCTCTCCGTGACCTGGCCTCAGTCCCATCAGCTCCTCAACCCCACCCTGGCCAGCCCCTTCCCTCTCTGCCCTGGACATGGACACCCACACACAGCCTGCCCACGGAGCTGCCCATGCAGTGCCCTCTCAGGAACACCGCCCTGCTCCTCTTCACCCGCTGGGGTTCATCCTCCTGCAGGACCCCCTAACCACTCTCAGCCCCAAGAGGTGGGCATCTAGCCCCCCCAGTTGTCCCTTGGATCTTCTGGGCTCCATTCAGCCATGCTTCCTCCCTGAGCTCCCTCACGCTATCAGGCTCAGGCTGGACCCATAGGGGCAGGCTCTGCGACAGGAGGCTCTCGACGTCTTTAATTCACTGTGCAGCCACAAGTAGGTGCCTCTGCCTCTCTGGGCCAAGTGCCGCTCTGCAGGACGAGCTTATGGAAAAGACACTGGCTTTGGTGTCGGACACGGGCATTTCAAATCCAGCTTGGCTTCTTTGTACTGCAGGAGGCTGAGTCCCCGAGTCTTGGTTTCCCTCTGTAAAGTAGGGGTAACAGTGGCCCCGTGTTGCTGCGAACGGTGGGAGTTAAATGAGGACATGAGGGTAAAGCAGAAGGGGTCCCGCCTGAAGCCCGTCCCTGGCAGACCTCCTAACCCTGGGCTCCCTGCCTTCCCTGCCTTCTACCCAGGCTGGTGAGAGGAACAAACAACAGTAACTCTAAGGGACACCACGCACATCGGCATGGCCCGGCCGTCCCACTGACTGAGGCTCCCGAACTTGCTGGGCCTGCTCCTCTTCATCCAAGCCTTGGAGACCAGCAGGCTGACCGAGCTTCATTATGAGGGCAGGGAACAGGCTCAGAGAGAGAAACAAGTCCCTTAGCCAGAGGTGGTGGCAGGAAAGGAACTCAGACACCGGTGTGCAGATGTCCTTGCCCCAAGGCTGCGGTCACCTCTGCTACCAGGTGGGAAAAAACTTTATGAACTTGAGAATATCGAGCCCTTTCGTTCATGTATTCATCTAATAGGTACTGACATCAAGCCCGAACCATGGCTACCATTTATTCAGTTCTCAATGTAGACCACGCCTAATGCTAAGTTCCTGATAAACTGTTTTTTTTTTCAATATCTCCAGAACAGATATTAGCCACTCCCTGCTCCACACCTTTGCACCTACCACTCTGTACCTGGAATGCTTTCCCAGCTTCCTCTACTAGCTGTGGCCCCAGCATGGCACATACCTGGGTTATGCTTATTGCAGCCAACCTTTGAGTTTCTACTCATCTGTCAAGGCCCAGCTCAGGGGCTCTACCTCCGTGAGCCCTCCTGGGCCCTCCCAGGAAGAACTGGTGCTCCTTCCTTTGTCCAATGGAGCCCAGCCTATTTCCATATTACAGTAACAATCCTGGCTCACAGTAGTGGGCACTGAGCATGCGCCAGACACGGTGCCAGGCACTTTATGTGGGTGATCTCATTCAGCACTCATCAGGACCCTCTGAGGGGAACACTTAGGATCCCCACTTTACAGACGAGGAAGCTGAGGCAGTGAGGTTGAGTGGCTCGTGTGGCTGGTCAGTATGGCACAGGGGCCAGTGCTCCAGCTCTCTACTTGCCCATTCCAGGCTCTGGGTGGAGACTCATCAAAGACCTTTCAAGCCCCCTCCCAGCCTGGTCATACCACGATGGCAGAAGTGACAGAGAGGATGTTGACCACGCAGTACTGCAGAGCCACAGCATCGTGGGGGGCAGCCACGTAGCGCAGCACGGTGCCATGGAGCAAAGCGGCTGCGATGAAGTTCACGTGGCCCAGTACCACCAGCACCAGCCCCGTCTTCATCAGCACCTTCCGGAAGTCACCCACACTCAGGCCACCTGTGGGGGACAGCTGTGTCAGGGCTCAGTCTGCTGGGCAGAGCAGAAAACCAAGGCCCTGGCAGGAGTGATGGACATTGGGTTCTACATATTTCTGGAGAATTTGGGATGATTAACTTGTCTTCTCTGAGCCTCAGTTTCCTCATCCAGAAAAGGGGTTTGAAATGCCTTCGTGAGAATCCTTGGAATCTAAGGTCGGAAAAGCACCAGGTGGTACTTAATAAAAAATGGTTGTCCTTGTCAGTTCTCAAGGTCATGAGTGGCCAGGCTAGGATTTGAACCTAGCTCTCTAGCTCTAGGTTCCATGATCCTTCTGTGACAGGGCACAGAGCATGGGTCCCCTGATAACAGAGGGACACACTCACAATCCTGCCTTCATTCAGGCAGGATGTGAGGCATGATTGGAGGCAGGGAGAGCGCATGGTACAGCTTTAAAGATAACATTGCATAACAAAAGGCAAATTAATAGCCATGCCTTCCTGAAGGGAAGAGGGCTGCTGCCCAGGGCAGCCAAAAGAGGGTGGACAAAAATGGTGGACACTAATGCACCACAGGAAGGGCTGGATATTAGATCACACAGGAAGTTCTGAGCTGAGCATTTAAAATTGGAGCAGGAGGCCTGGAGGTCCAAGAGAGAGAAACACGAGGCCAGAGAGGTCTGCCGGGAGGTCTGGAGGGCAGTGGGAGACACCAGGTCAGGGGCGTCCACCTGGAAGTCTGCCGGGAAGGCAATGGCAGAGCTGGCAATGCTGCGGGGGGCCTGCCTGGCCCCCCAGACTCGTGAGACATGCTTGGAGCTGAACTGTGACTGGGGATGCTGGGCTGCAGACTTCTGCTTTTCTGAAAGATGGAACCTCTGAGTGGCGTACTCTGAAACTGGCCTGGTTTGGCAGAGGGAGGCAGGAACATGTATTGCTGGGTGTTTTTAAAGAGAGTGGGACTTACCAGCAGAAACCTGCCATTACTCCAAATCCATATAACCTTTAAATAAACGGCCCCTTTCCTTTTTCATCAGACTCTCCCATTGGGAGTCATGCTTCCTGACGGCGGGCATCAAACCCCACTGGCTGGTTCCGTAATGCTTCCATTCAGCGCCCATTCGCTGACTTATTTTTTTTCCTATGCTCATTACACACATTTACACAGATGCCCACGGAGTGCCTGCTCTGTGCCAGGCACCGTGAGGTAGGACAGTGAGCTTGACAGGCACTGTCCTGGATCATCGGGCAGGGAGCAGGTCCTGCTCGGGATTCAGTCTGGTGGACTGGGCCTGGCACACAGTAGGTACCCAGCTCACAACTGCTGAACTGAACTACCTAGAGGTGGGTGATTCAGGGCCGGAAACTCAAGCCTCTGAGTCTCTATTTCCTGATCTGTAAAGAGGAAAGGAAAAAAACTTGTCTCCTGGTGGGAAGGGAGGGGCATACTCTGGGGAGATGGATAGGGAAGGGGGGCATACCCTGGGGGTGCTGGGAAAAACAAGCTCTTGCCACAGAGGCACTGGGCAGGGACTGGCACGTGGTGGTGGGGTGCTGGGGTCAAAAGAACATCAGGGACTCGAGCTACTTCCCAGCGGCCAAGTGGCTGTGAAGCCCGTCTCTGCACACCCCCAGGAGCAGGGCACCCTCCTGTTTGGGCAGCGCAGGCTGTTCCAGATCTGCTCTCTGGAACCTCCCCATGGGTCCTGGCTGTTCCCTCACAGACACACCATGCTGGTCCCCTGGCCCTGCTGGACCCCTTATTCTAGCCAGCTCTGTGATGCTGGAAGGCCAGGGTCCCAGAACTAAACAGCCTCTTCCTCCCTTATGCACCTGGTGGGACCTGACTCCCTTTCTAGACCTCAGTCTCCCCATCTGTAGATCATATTTCATATATGAAACTTTACAGCTAAAAAAAAAAAAAAGAAATCAGTAGATTAAATGTTCTTGAGGACCTTGTGCCAACCTGGGAATTGGGTTGGCGGGGGGGGGGGGCATCCAGTCACAGATACTCTGTGTGACCTGTGCCAGGTGTCCTTTCCTTTCTGAGGTCCAGGGTCCTCTGATGGAAAATGGGGAGGGTTTGGTCTGGTTCTTCTGAGGACCCGGACCCTACAGGACCTTCTGGAACTAGAGCTGGACTGGATGTAGGAGAGTCGAGGTCAGATGACAGGCTGGCCAGGCATGTGGGACTGGACTGGCGCCAGCCCAACCGGAAGGGGCACAGCAGCTTCGTCCCAGGGCTCCAACCCATTGCACCCATCCGCCCACCCACCTGGCAACCCAGACACCAACCGCTCAGGGTTGACTGGGCTCACAAAAAACAGCAGCATCCCAGGCTCAGGGTGGTCAGACTGGAGGGGCTGCTCCATGGCAGGGCTGTGCCTGGAGCACTGGGCAGAGAGGGAGGGCAGCCTCTGACTTCTCTGTTTCCAAGTTGCCGTTCTTGGAGCACTTAGTAGTGTGGTTGGCCCTGTGGTAAGCACTCTACTCTTAGAGCTCACTTCATCCTCACAGTAGTCCTAAGGCGGTGGGGCTACCATCCCCATTTTACGGATGAGGAAACTGAGGCTTGCAAAGTCTCCTCGCTAGAGAGCAGAGACTCCCCAGGTCTGATGCCCAAGAGTAGCACCACTGTGCCCAGGGAGCAGGGCACTCCTCTGTCTGGATCCTGTTTGCCAATGGTCCTTCTCTCCTGGCCTGTTTGGGAGAGTGGAGGGTGTGGAAATGGGAACCTTCTACAAGGCTGAGGAAGCATAAAGGGGCAACCTCTAGCTCACAACTCCCTTGGGCCCTGGAGCCCTCCTCTGCTTTTTGTTCTGGGTGAGGTGGGGAAAATGCTAGTCTCTCCCGCATTTTTCCCCCAGGCCTGGGGGTCCCACCTCCGCAAGAAGGAAAGTGGAGAAGAGTGGGGAGGGGCATGGATAAGACACCAGCAGCCCTCCTCCCTCCATATCACTGCTGGGGAAACTGAGGCCTATGGAGGAAAGTGACCTGCAGAGAAGGCAGCCTGGGCTCCCACCACAGCGTTCCGCCCCCTGCCGGCGGAGTTGGGTGGGTTCATGCCTCCCGGGGCATACCCCCGCGGCTCACCAAGGCGCAGACACATCTTGTTTTCCCGTTCAGGGTCTCCGAGGCCAGCTCAGTGGGGCTCCAGAGGCGGAGGGCAGCATGGGGGACCCGCTCCCATCCTGGTCCACCGCCGCCTCCGCCGCGCGCCCCGCAGCCGCGTCGCACCCACTTCCCGCCTGGAGCCCGGACTCGCGGGCACTCGGCCGGCCTCCCTTCCCGTCACCCCCCGGGCGGCCCTGCCCCGGGAGGGCCCAGGCGGCTTGCTTGCATCCGGAGCCGGTCCAACCGGCTGGGCAGCCCTTCCTGGTCAGACCAGCTGAGTCAGAGCGCTGGTCCCACCCTCCCGCTCCCTGCTCGGATCCTGGCTGGCACCTGGCCCCTGCCTACACACTCCTAGCCCACCCCCACTTCAGTGATGCCCATTTTACAAATGGAAACTGAGGTTCAGAGGAGCCGACCCTCCAGGCTAGGGAGTATGGTGGAGTTGCAGTGGTGGTGGTGGGGGTGTTGTATGCGCATTAGCTACGGACCTGGCGGGTAACTGGCCGGAAATCTCCAGGTTGAAGGCTGAGAAGTCACTTCTTTCTAGAGGACGTGGAGACGCAGCAGTGGGTGGTGAAGCAGCACTGCCTGGGAACCAGGGTCTGTCCTTAGCTGCTGTGCCACCTCAGGCAAGCTGTTTTCTCTCCTGTTCCGGGCCTGAGATTTACCACTGCCTTGGTGGGGGAGGGGCGGGTCTCTGCTCCCTGGTTGGAAAATGGGGGATAATAATTTCTGTCCCCTAAGATCGTGGTGAGATAAAAAGATAAGAAAATGCATTGAAAACTCTCTAGAGTATCTTTATAAAGTGTAGATCTGGCAGGAGCACATAGTAGGAGCTTTACTAATTCTGGCTATTGGTTCCTGAGCCCCTTTAGTGTTCCAGGATGGACCAGCGCCCTCCCTTGTTCCAACCTCAGAATCCAGAGCTGGACTTGCCCGAGTGGCCAGCTAGGAGTGGTAGAGATTCCCACCCAGGTCTTCGTGCCCATGTTCTTCAGTGGGTGCCCCGTTCACCTCCCTGGCTAGTGCTCTGGGGGGCAGGAGCTGGTGTCTGTGGTCCCTGGGTGCTCAGTCTAGACTGGCATACTGGATGTCCACTGAATGTGTGGCTTTCTGCACAACTGTACCTGTGCCTACCATGTTTTGGGCGCCTGGGTCAGCACATGCAGGGCCTCTGAAGTGTTAATGGAGAGCACACTTCCACCAGAGGAGGAGGTGGAGCCATCTGGAACCGGACTACCCACAGTCCTCTCTGCTACCACTGTTAGGCAGACGGGTCTAGTAAGTCCTGGGCAGACACGCTTCCCTGTCATATGCTTTCTGAAGGGAGGCAGTGGGTGACAGGTGCAGGGCGGGAAGAAAAACTTGTGAGGTAAAAGGCAAGGTGGGGACAGTTCCTCAAGCCATCAGCTGCCATATGAATGTGGATGTCCATGTGGGCAGCCTTTAGTGGGGCAACTGGGCATCCATACTGTGAATGGTCAAACACTTGCATTTGTGACCCAGCAATTCCATTTCTGGGCCTGCACCCCCCGTGCACACCAAAGAGCGCAGACGTGCACCCGCCTTTAATGGCGTTTAAGGACAAGCTGTTTCTAATAGCAAGCAGTAGCGCCAAACTGGCAACCAAGGGAGGTGTGGGCTGGCGGGGAGCCGGGGGAATGGTTTTTGTTTCACATGTAGCTATATTGCTGAAGTCTGACAATGAACATTTATTCATGTCCTGCTTTTGTAAGAAAGCAAGGAAAAAAGCCCTTCTTGTCACCGCTACCCTGCCCCCACTCCACCAACAACTTTGCGATGACAAAGGCCACCTACAGGGGCTGCCCTGGAGAGTACATGTGGTCACTGCAAAGCTGGTTTCAAATCTCACGTGTGTATATGCATGTGGCTTCTCCGTCAGTCAGTGCCAGGTGGTCCCCTTGACACTGAGCCCATCCAGGGCCTTCTGGCAACAGGTTGAGGACCAGACCTTTTAGATTTCTCTGCTTTAAGGGGCACAGATGAGGGTTCTCTCTTTTTATCCTTGGAACAATACTGAGAGTGAAAGATCATCACCTGGTTTTGCAGATGTGAAAATTGAGGCGGATGGTAAAGGGCCCCTCAAAGATCACACAGCATGTTGTCAGTGGGGGAGCTGAGCATTGAATCAGGCCCATGTAACTGGAGGCTGCTGCCCCTGACTTCTGAGTGTGGTTGGGGACAGTGGGGAGCCGTAGCCCTCAGGGAGTGGGCCTGCTTTCTGGGGTCTCTGAAGAGGGGGAACTGCCTACCTATTTCTCCCCAGCCACAGTTTCCTGGCCAGGGCCCAGCCTTAGCAACCTGAAGTTACAGCTGTTTCTTTTCCTTATTGCTAATCGGCCAAAGTCCATTAGTCCAAGCCACTCAGTGTCCCTTGCCTCTGCCCCACCCCTCTGCACACGGGCCTTAGGTTCCAGGAAGAGTCTCAGGCCAAAGCTCTAGTCACTTGTCATCCACCAGCTCACTGTCATTCCCAGGGCCTCAGTTTCTCCATCTGGCAAATAGGGATAATGGTAGTCTTCCCCACTTCCCAGATTTCTGAGGCACAACCGACTTGAGGGAGGTGAGAGCTGGCTGAAACACAGCCAGAGAAATACGGGTAGTAATTCTCTCTCTTCCTGTTAAATGTACTTGGTGTGACACTTTTACAACAAAGTATTGTGCTAAACTGGACACTGGGTCTTCCCAGGGCTACCCAGCTGGGGATGGCGGTTGGGGCTCCTGTCCTCTGGCTGTGCAACCCCTCCTCACCTAAACCCCCACTACCCCCAATTACAAGAGCAGTTCCTCCAGCTGAACAAAACAATCACACACAGACCCTGCATGATCTCATGTAGGTATATGCACACCTGTCCATGAAACTAAAGCCAACTGACCATGCTTGTCTGAGACGAGGGGCGGCTTTGTGTATTAACAATGACACGTTCTAGATGGTGTAAATGGGGGTGTTTGTTATTCTTTGTATTTTTCTATCTTTTACATTTCTAAAAAAGACTCATTGTAGAAAATTTGAGGGGCAAACAGGAAAGTACAAAGAAAAAAGTCAGAACTGCCGCAGCCCTCTCTGCCAGCACAGAAAACCGCCATTCGCATTTGGAAGGTTGTTCCTGTGCGGGTCTATCATATTACTCTTCTTAGACTCCTGCCACCTGGCTCTGCTCTGCCACCCCTTCTCGTCACCTTACCGGTCGGTCTCCCTCCCTGTCACCCACTTCCATCCATCAGAGGCTTGGGTTTCCAGATCTCCATCAGGCAATCTGTGCCACAGTTCTACTCATCCATGTGAACAACCCTCCAATACTCTTTCTTGACCTCCTCAGTGACCTCCATCATGACCCCAGCCATCCTCTCCGGGGCCATGTCTCGAACACCCCCACGCCGATATCCCAACCCCAACATCCCTAAAGGCCTCTCCTGTAGCATGCCCATCTCCAGACTCCCAGTGCCTCATCCTCTGACTTCACGGAGGCCACTGGCCCGGTTCCATTTCCTGTTGTTCAGTTAGCACCCTGCTGGCCTCTCCAGCACCAAATCTGCACCACAAGGTTGAACATCTAAAGGCCAGTTCAGTTGTTTAAGGGAGATGAGAAGTCTGGGGCCTTAGACTTGGACCAGGATAGTGGCTATGGAGATGGACAGCAGAAGGGAGATTTGAGATTTGTGATTCGAATGCACATTAAAATTGGAAACCACTATTCATAACCTATGCACTTCCTTACTTCTCCCAGTCGCTCCCCCAGCCCCACACGGACACCCTCTATTCCGCACGCTCCCCCTTTCTGCTAAGTCCTTCCCACCAGCCTGTGAACACGCCTGAGTCTCTTCATCCTACAAAAACACACTCTCCTCTTGACTCCCTTTACATTTTTAGTTACTCCTTTTTCACTTCCTTTCCATTGCCTTCCAAGCTTCCAGAGGGGATTATCTTTACATGCTGTCTCTGTCTTCTTGACCCCACCTCCTCGGTCCGCAGCAGTGTGCATGGTTCAGCCTCTGCTGGGAGGGCCCTTGTCTAGGGTCTTCCCATGAGTCCCATGGAAGTGCAACCCACTCCCCTGCACACTCTGTCCTGGTGTTTCCTCCTGCCTCTCTGGTTGTTCCTTCTCAGTCTCCATTGTCATCAACTAAACCTTCAAACATTAGTATTCCTTGGCATCCTGTCTGCTTCTTTTATTGTTCCCATTGGTTGGTGCGTGCATTGTCACAGTTCCCCTTTTATATGATGATTCTCAAATCACTGTCCCCAGACTAGATGGCTCCCTTGAGCATCAGACTCAACAAGCCAATCACCTTCTCCCTCCACCTGTGTCTCTCACAGTATCTCAAGTTCAACACATACCAGTTGACAGCTTCATCTTTTCTCCCAAACTGCTTCTGTCTCAATGGGTGGCTTCATGATGTTCTCAGGCCAAAATCTGGGACTTATTCTTTAGTCTTCCCTGTCTTTCTCTATAAAGCCAATGAGCAAGTCCTGCTGATTTACATAATAAGTCTTTCTATGACAAGTACCTTACCCTGTGTCCCCGCTCTTACTGCCCTTGTTCATGTAAGAGCTCTTGCCACCTCCGTTGTTTTTCTACACTAAGTAATCTTTCTAAAGCATAAATCAGATCACATTACTTTTCAGCTTAACATTGAAAGTAGCCCACAATATATTAAAGAAAATAAACAAATGAAAAAGTATCCTGGGTTCATGGATTGTAAGGCTTAATGTTGTTAGGATGACAATTCTCCCCAAACTGATCTACAAATACAGTGTAACCCTACCAAATGCTGACATGTCTGGTTTTTGTCCTTTTCTTTTTTTTGCAGAAATTGCTGAGTTGATCCTAAAATTTATATGGAAATGCAAAAGATCCAGAATAGCCAAAACAACCTTAAAAAGAATCAATCACACTTCAGTAATCAGGACAGTGTGGTACTGGCATAAGGACAGACATATAGATCAATGGAACAGAATTATGAGTCTAAAAGTAAAGAAACCAGGAATAAACCAGAAGTAAAAGTACATGTGTGGTTAACCGATTTTTGACAAGGGTATCAAGATGATTGAAGGGAGAAAAAATAGTCTTTTCAACAAATGTTGCTGGGACAACTGGGTATCCACAGGCGAAAGAATGAAGATGGACCCCTACCTCACACCGTATACAAAAATTAACTCAAAATGGACCACAAACCTAAATGTGAGAACTAAACTACAA